AAAGAGGGGAGATTATATTATAACCTTAGCAGTTATATTATATATAAAATTATACCTTATAAATTTTACTTAATAGAAATACTATAGCCTATATTTACTAATACTTATAAGACTTAATATTAGACTAACCAGGATAGGACTAACTAATATTAGACTAATAGCGCTCTAGGACTGCGTTACTCTAGGACTAATAGTAACCTTATATTATATTGCTTTTACTAAGGAACTATAAGTATATATATATATTTATTTAGTATTAAATAGAACCTAGCTTACTAGCTATTAATAATACTTCTTTATATTAATTAAGCCTAATATGTATTAATCTACTATTAAGAGATATAATACTTTAATAACGCTTAGTATATACCCTATGCAATTTGCTAATAATAAACCTAAGCACGGCTTAGTTTAATATAGTTAGACCTAACTATTACAAGGTTAGGTATAGTTACTAGCCCTTTATCTAGTTATGTAGAGGATATATACGCTAGACCACATGCTTATAACTTATTAATATCTCTATCTAATATCTAATATTTTTTACTACTACCCTATATAACCCCTAACCCTGCATACCTATAATAACCTTATAATGTAATCTGTAAATAACTTTAATTAATTATATAGTAATAAGTATTTATTTAATTATTTTAAGATTTTAAATACTAATTAAAAAATATCCTTTTTACTATTAGTATTTTTAGTAGCTTTTTTCTATATAGCTTTTATATATTTTCTTTAACCTAATATAATATATACTTCTTAGCTTAATCTTATACTATAATAATCTATTTAATTATAAAAAAAGCTTAGTTTAGGTTAAATTAAATAGAAACTCAGCCTGTAAGGGCTTTTACTGCTACTAACGCTTTAAGTATAGCTTTTTCCTCTTTTAGGCATTATATTTAACTATTCTTCTAATTAATAGACTTTATTACCTTCCTTATAATATAATTAAAGTTGCGGATTAAGGGAATTCTATTCTTTTAAGCTTCTTAAAGCTATTTTTTAATATCTTAACTTCCTTAAGGCATTTTCTATAAGGTCTCCTTAACTACCTACTACTTCCTTAGTATTATAAGCCCCTTAAATAACTAGCGTTTTTTCTCCTTAGGCTTTAATAACTTTAAAGCCTTTTTAATATTAATTAGGAAAAGACTAGTAGCTAAGAAGCTACTTAAAATATTCTTTTAAGTTAGGGCTTTTTAAGAAGCCTTTTTATAAGCTTTTAGGAATAGTTATTACTAATATAATAATATTACTTTATATAAGGCCTAAAATCAAATTAACTAGTAATAGTACTATTTTAATAGCCTAAATATAGTAATATTAAGTAGCTATATAATATATAAAGAATATAAAGGTAACTAAGAGAGCTAAATCTTATTTAACTAAGCCTTTTTTATTAGTTTTACTATTATATATAACTTATACTAGTCTAGGACTAAAAGTCTTTATTAAAATAAGTTTAATAATATAGTCTTAGGTATAAATACCTCTATAAACTATTTAAGGAAAATATTAGTATTAAACTAACTTAAAGGACTTATAGTATATTTTTAATTAGGGAAAATGCTTAGAAACTACTATCCTTAGAGGTTTTTACTAGTAAAAATAATAGTTAGGGTTAGATACTAACTATCTGCTAATATAGACTTTAAAACCAAGCTTTAGGTTAAATTATCTAACTTAATATACTCTAAACTAGAAGTTATAACAGTCCTAATTACAGTCCTGCTATTAGTTTCCCTTAGTTAAACCCTAGTCTTATTAATATTATATAAACTAGATTATAGGATCTTTTTAAACTTAATAATATAGGTAAGATTATTATAGTACTCTATAAGTATCTCCTTTATAATATAATACTTCTTTATAGTATTTATAACTCTTAATAGCTTTATTTCTCTTATCTTATAGCATAATACAAATCTATTAACCTAGTTCTTACTAAGATATAAAATATCTCTGTTAATTATTACTAAAGCTTATATAAAGTTATATATTTCCTGCTTTATTAGTAGCTAAAAACTACATTTTCTTTTAATAATATAATTTATAAGGTCTTCCTTTTATATAACTATTAGTAATAAGTCTTTTTAATATACTATTTTAATATCTTAGGCTCTGGTATAATAATTCTTTAAAGTTAATAGCTTAATTAAATATTTTTATACTAAAGCTTATAATCTTATTAATTTTTAGTCCTTAATAGCTAATACTATTTTATATTTATAATCTAATACTTGCAAATTTATTTCTATTAATAAAAAAAAAGGATTTAATTTAAATTTTATAGAAGTAAATAAAGTGGCTAATATTAATAACGCGTTAATGGTGTTGAGGTGTGCGGGGTCAGGGGGTGTACGGGGTGGTAGTGAAAGATGTTAATATAACCCCCCAGCATATCTAAACCTACTACTCTACTTAAGCTACTAAAATGTAACCAGATAAACCCCTATCTTTATCAACTTTGCCTTTCTCGCCTCAAGCCCTGTTCAAAAATGTGGTGCGCCTCGTAGGTAGGCTAAAGGCCCAAGTCAGTACCTTTCGCTTCTCCTTCACATCAGCTCCTTCTCGCCGCCCTAACACATCCTGCCCACCGCAGCGCCGCGATACAACCACCACATGACGAGGCTTCGATGCAACAAGAACTTTCTTATGGCTACCCTTACAAGTCTAGCGCATTCACTTATCCCGACCGCTGCCTGCTTCAAAAAACGCCAGTTTCGACATGCTGCAGCATTTGACCTCTGACCAGAGCTTGATCGCTGGCACGGCGCACCGCCGCAATAACAAACCCGGCCAGCGCCCACAGGCAGCACGGCCCTTTTCCCGACCCAGAAGCGCTTGTGAGCTTTCTCCTCTGGCGTAACCCAAAACTGAGCCCGTGGAGAGCCTCATCTCACTTGAGCAGTCTTAAACTCAACTAAGTTTGAGTTGCTTGGCGGCCTGTGCCAAGTACAGTCATGGAGCAAACAACAACGCAAAGCACCTCCATTGCGACAAAACATCTCAAACACAAAGATTTCTGCCTATCAATCACAGAGCAGCAAAAAGAACCGAAACGAATCCCAGAGACACCATTGTCCTGCTGCCTAAAATTCTCAATCATAAAAGCCCCAATTCATCCCACCCAACATCGCTTCCATTCGATATCTTACCACTTCATCCGCATCTCAACACTCTCTCCTACACAACACAGTGTAGTGCCCTCGTAACAACATATACAGGCAGCGGCAGCTCTGTGAAAGTATATATATACATATTCAACGATGGCTCATTCAGAATCGAGTAAGTTAGCCTTGTTCTTTCAATTTATTGTAGTACTTTTGAGACTTGAAATTGACAAGATCAATAGTAACCCTGACAAAGACGACAACCAAGCGAGGGAGTTGCCGCTTATATACTATAGCTACGGGCCCAAGACCACCCCTTGTGCACATCTTCACCTTTGAAGAGCCAGAATTCTGCGACACCCGGTTGCCTTTGCTTGACGTGTCGCTACGATGGCACAGCAAGAACTGACATCGGCGTTCTTTGCTGTCCCTCACATCCTCGTCTTCTCAAAGCCCCCTCTCATCACATCTCCCTCAAGTCCACACAATGAGCGAGACCTGGGACCCTGACCACGCACTGCCGGCCTCTTACCTGTCGTACAAGAGACAGGCATGTGATCGTAAGAACCGGCCCGTGGACGAGCTGTGGAACTCACAGTTCCGTGAAGAGTTCGACAAATGCGGTCACCTCCAGTCAGAATCAGACAAGGCAGAATGGTCCTACTGGGCCAGTCATTTGAAGACTGCCGACTCAACTAGCATACTGTACAACCATCTTCTGGGGAAGGCAGGGACTGGAGGAAAGCATCGCCGCATGAGCTGGGCGTGCATCTACGCCGTTCTTTGTAACCAACCATGGTCTGAAGAGAGCATCAGAAATGGTGGCAAGGGAAAGGGGTGGGCAGCCAGAGCCGCTGCCGCACACCCCAATGCCAACATCTGGCGGGGACAACCCAACGAAGAGCAAGCTGATGCGGCCATTACCGGCCAACATGACACCGACGATGGTAAGCAAATACAATGACCCCGGTGGCAATATCACTAATCCTTTTCTTGCAGAAGCCCAAAGCGCCCGCTACAAGAGCCAGTTAAGGGCGAAGCGTGGCAAGGCTCACGACAGGACCATCACACAGCGCATGTACGATCGCATGCGAAAGAAGGCCAAGAGTTCCAAGAGCCGCGATACGGGCGGGGAAATGAAGAAACTCTAAGACGCACTTCACCGCCGTGATCGCATGATCAAGGAGAGCGACGCGACAATCAAGCTACTGGAGAGCAAGCTCTCCGAGCAGAAGGAGTTGATTGAAGGAAGCGACCCCCGTATTCGGTCAGCGACATTGAGCCCCAGCCGATCAGCGACATTGAGTCCAGGTCCGGCGTCATCACCGACTCTGTCTACAGAACGGGTCGGCATCTAGACTCGCCCACTCTCAGGTTCCCCTGTATCGAGCGTCATTTCAACCCTCAAGCACTCGGCTTTGGTGTCAGATCGGCGAGCCAGCCTTGGACCACGGGAACCAGGGATTTTAGATGAGTATTAGGGTAGTTTAGGATGAGTTTAGGATATCTTATGATGAGTTTTACAAAGCCTTGGCCGTTCTCCCCTTCGTTTTTCGATCAAACTCCTGTATACACACGCTTGAGGCCCCTGTGAGATGCAGAATTGGCTTTCAGAACCTGCTGTGACTACTCTCCTCTATATACAGTCCAGCCAGTCTTCGATGCGCTTGGCAGTTGGCACAGGGTCCTCTTTCTCAATTTCTCCTGCCTCCCCTTCGTCCAAGTCTTCATCTCGAAGTTCTCCAGGAGCAAGAGCGCCGCCTGATATGGCTGCAGCACGGATAATGGCATATTGAATCTTGATCATAGCCTCAAAGAGAGGGGCATCCTCTTTGCGACGTTTGACCACTATGATCTGGCCGTTCACGATCGGGCGGTTGGTGATATCATGTGCCTTGACCTTTCGGATAGCCTGACATTCGTTGCAACTCAAGTCTGAGCATGGTTTCATTGTTTGGCCTCCATAGTGGTGATTGAGGCCGGCCGAAAGACTTGTGGATGGGTGCGCCTGCTGATCCAGGGCGATTTGCTTCGTTGCAAATTGAGAGATGTTACGTGGCATCCAGACGAATTGTAGATGGATCTCCACAAACCCGTCTTCCTCAGAATCATTGCTGCCGTAGTGCATCAGGCCGAAATACGCGTGGTCCCACCACTCGTGAAGCTGGGGGCTCAGACACACCAAGTTCCACAGCCGGTCAGTACAGCCGACACCTAGAAGCAGCTTGTCCATGGCTTCCCGCTTGAGCTTGGGGGGTTGGATGTCGATCACTAATTGGAGGGCAGGCATCAAGCGCTTGGTAACCTCAAAGTTCTTTTGATGCTTGGACCAGGCGAAAGGAACAATATGGCAGACCTGAGGATTACTGGCACCGGTCACCACACAACAGTTGCCATCGAACTCCAAGCACACCTTTTTGAGACACTCACTTCGATCAGCCTCAGTACTCTTGCTTGTGGCTACAGAACTGGTCGCAGAACCGGCCACAGAGGGGTTTGAGATGATTTTGCGTAAGGTGCTTCCATCTGATGCTGAGCGTCGTCCACTGGCGTGTGATTTGCTGGATGATGCAGGCTTTGAGACAGAGCCCAGAGAGGTGACACGCTGCGGCGCTTTCCCTTTTGCGGAGGAGTTGGCGTGGGGTCGTTCAGGAAACTCGATCTTGTGTGCGGCCTTTTGGAGGACTAATAGGTATTAGCATGGCCGTCTATCGATATCGACATTGATTGACTTGACTTACACCACCACGTTGCATTGCCCAACTTGTTGATCATGGCTTGGAGATGGCCGGATGTGTCGGGAAGCATTTCTTTGAGGCTTCGCAATTTGTCGAGCGGCATGTTGATGAGGTACGTAAACTCAAGTCCGGTGAGGTCAGGCTTTTCAGGACCGCGAAAGCGCTCTAGCTCCGCTCGGATGCTTTCGATGAGTTCAAGTCGAAGCTCGTAGTCCTCAAGTGGAAGAAGGCTCTCTACGCGCTCGACTCGAGGTCGCGACGAAGACGGAGAGGCTTCTTCCAGTTCGCCGGTGGCCATCGTCGTCGCTGTTGGGAGCAGAACCTTGGCCGATGGACTGCAGGCGCCATATTATGTGCCTTCAAGGCAGAAGCTGGGATATGCTCATTTCAGTTGAGGTTTGCGGCTGAGAACTTAGATCAGCAGAGAGAATTTGGAGGTTAAGAATTTGGGTGCACACTGCGAAAGCATGTTGACACAGGTGGGGCTGTGTAACCTGACGCCAGCCAAAGTCAGAGCCTTCGATTTGGCTGCGCGGGGTCAATCACGTCTCGAAGTCAAACTCATCATAAGATATCCTAAAGTCATCCTAAGACCCACCATAAGCTTATGAAAATTCAGGATAGGCTCAGGGCTGCCCTAAGTTTAGAGGATTGTAGGTATTAAATCCTGCAAACTGGCTCTCCGCAACTCTCTCTCTCTTCCACTCGCATCACACTCAACTTTTCATTTCTTCTTAATTTTTCAACATTTTGAACAACTCAGCTCACAAAACGCCGACGCATCGCTACCATGTCGCAGCAAGAACTCACAGGGGCGTTTTTTAATTTTCTCAGTCAGAATAGCGGCCACCCAACACGTCTCAGCGCTCTAAAGAGCTTCCTCGTCGCCCGACCAGAGGTCAAGCCGGTGGCTGACCTCTTACCTGTTGATGAGATGAACGCTCGCCTTGATCTGATCGAGGTCGTACAAACTAATATCGCGGTTTTGAGGCCAGACCGCCCTTTGAATCATATCCAGTTCTGCTACCTTGTCGGAATGCCACTTGGAGATCTCCAGGCATTTGCCCATTTAAATGCATTACATGTTTTCGACGCTGTCCGCGGACTTGGGAAATTAACCGCTCATTGTAAGTACATTAACACCTTGTAGCTTCTTCTCATACTGATTTGGAACAGTCTTCAAGCGTGACAAGTACTCTGACCCATCTCCCCCGCCCACACCCAGCCCAGCTCCAAAAGATTCTGGCTCACGCCGTGGAGGGCAAGAAAGCCCTCGATATCACCCAGCACTCCCGCCTGGCCCTCAAGGCAGCTCTCATCGCCGCACTGTTTCAGAGGGAAGGATCACCAAACCTCGTTCCGACAGCAGCCCTAACCTCCCTCCCAAATCCAGTCGTAGACCTCACACCCCTACTGCTCCTGGAGGTAGCCCCCAGACTCCCCGCACTGGTGGAAGCACTTTCGATTCTGCTCCGTCAAGCACCCGATCCCAAAGGACACAAGTTCCACGGACCAGAAGAACGATCGATGAATGCAAAAGACTGGATCAGTACCGGTGCATTGTCACTGGTCTAGCTGATCCAGAAGGTTGCCATATTGTTCCTTTCCATTGGAACCAAGACCAAGAACATTTAGAGAAGACCACGGAACTTCTCAAAACCGTTCAGACAATCACCTTTGAGCAGAGGACTACGAACGCGAGCAAAACACTAATGGAAATTACCAAAGGCGTCAAATCCAGCGACATGCCTTGGAATCTTCTGTGTCTCAGTCCTCAACTCCATACGTGGTGGGGCAAAGCCTATTTCGGTTTCAAGTACTACGACACAGTGTTATGCGAGGATGACCCCAACTATTCGATCATCTCCCTCCAGTTTGTCTGGATGCCTTCCAACGTCAAAGCCATGGCTACAGATCAGATTGATCTTGGAGCGCAGAGGGATCCATTGACAGCTTTGGGGATTCATCTCACACATCGATACGGCGATGGCCCACTTTCAGCATGCACTACAAGAAATTGCACTAAATGTCGGGAGACCCTGGGCGTACAGTGTCATGATATATCCAGCAATCGACCTGTTGAGTCTGGTACCATCGTCAAAGTCAAGCGCCTCACGAAAGACCGGCATTTGCTTGAGCATGTGATCAAGCTCCAGTGGTCAATCACCTGTGCTGCTGCCATGTCAGGTGGAGCCCAGATCTACGAGGATGACTTGCTTTCAGAGAGCGAGGACTCGCCTTGTGAGTCTGTATCTGAGCAACAGGATCTGGAAGAGTCGGGAGAGGAGCTGAAAGAGGATGGGGAAAATACGCGTCAGGCCAGTATTGAGAAGGTCGACAGTTGGCTACAGCAATCAGATCCTGTGGATGACATGGGGCCCAGCTAGAAACGGTTCAAGAGTCACCGCAAGACATTCACGCCATTGAAGACAATGATCGACAAAATCATGCACCCGATCGACAAGCTCAAGCGTTTCAGAAAGGTGCCTGAAGTATCCTCTACTGCCTGAGTGCCTATCGACGACGATTTTAGGTCATCGGAAAATTGAAACGGTTTCGACATCTATTCTCTTGTGTACGATTGTGATTTGCATGTGCCTTGTGACTTAACTTATTATCATAAAACTGTGACTCCTTGAACGATTCGCGAACATTAACTGCTATTTAATTGACATCAAATTAGACATGAAGTTATGGCCCTGTATGATTCTGTGATATGTTCCTCAATTGACTTACGATCACCTACTCATAACACTACTTGACACCACTCAAAGCCTCAACCACGACATCCCATCCACCCTCCACTAGTCTGGATCATCCACCATCCCCTGTCCAAGCCTCAGCTGTGATAATCTCACCAACAGCTCTTTCTGTTTTCTTCGCCTGTCAAGCTTTTCGATTTGCTCCTGCAGTTCTTCCTTCTTCGCCATCATGGCTTTCTCGATACTTTGGAATGTATCACCTTGGTAGTCTGAGGCGTTGACAACAATGTCAACTGCTTCTTTGACAAGCCCTTCAGGCGTTTTATCGACATAGTCGAGCTTGTCCGGAAACTCCGCACGCTCGTTGGTCTCTACGGCGGTGGCTTTCATCGTACCCTCTCAGAAACCATCCCCAAGCCACACCCCCTAGTCGTTCTTCACAGGAACCTTCTGGTACCTAACAGTCTCAACACCAGAGTCATCAAACGTCCTATCCGCCACAACCTTGTATCCTCCAATCCTAGGCAGTATCTTTGTCCAGAAACTCCAGTAGACACCACCAAGGATCAAAACGCCAACACCAACAACGGGGAACACGTAGTACGGGTATCCATCTGCGTTCCAGTCACCATCAGGTGGGATGAAGGGCACCAAGGCGAGGAAAATGTTGGCGAGGAGGTAGATTATCGAGATGGGGAGATATGTGTGCCACGGTGATGTCCAATTCTCGGACTTTTTGTAGTGCAGGTATATCAAACCCGCTGTGACGAAGCCGTTGATCCAGGAGCCGGGGTAAGTGTACCTGACTTGTTAGTCTTGTAGATAATGCGTGGAGAGACATAACTTACAGGTTGACGATAAAGTTATACGCTGGTCCAGCAGGGGGAGCCAGAAGCACCACAACCGTAACAATCCAATGAAGAAAAAGCTAAACCATCAGCCTTACTCCTTCTAAACACAAACATAACTTACCGCAGAAGCAGGCGCATTAAATGGCCTGTTCGACGCCCAGAATCGACTAAACGGCAACATTCCCTCCTTGGCCAACTCCTGATTCAGCCTCGCATGCGCAAACGAAACAGCAAGCACATTCCCAAGATTGCTCAGCGCCACGAAAGCAGGTAGACTCCTCGCCGCAGCGCTCTCCCCAAAGATGTTTCTGAAAAAGAGCCCTGCGACGATGACCTCTGACTTGGCCAGGTCTGATTTGGGTATGGCGGCAAAGTACGCTACGTTGGCGAGGACGTACAGAATCGTCACCCCGCCGATAGCTATAGGCGCTGCGATGGCGAGGGTTTTCTTGGGGTGTTTGAGTTCGCTGACCACGTAGTTTGCGTTTTCCCAGCCTTTGTAGCTGTAGATGATATTGAGGAGGGCGTTGGAGTAAGCGTATGCTCCGCCGCCGCCGTAGCCATCGCCATCTTCTATTCTGAACGCGTTGTCAAAGTTATGAGGGTTCGGCACTCGGCGATGGCCTGCAAGAGCAGCAAAGCCTGAAAAGACGATGAAGAGAAGAATAACAACCTTAAAAACGCCCAGAACGTTGAAGAGGCGGATACCCCACTTCGGTGTAACGCTATGTATGAGGACCGCAAAGGTCACGCACGCCACCGCGATGCCACGCGCTTCCCATCCATCGGGTGTTTCCCGCCCCGACGCAAAGAGGATATATCTCCCGAAAGCAAGAGAATTACCAGAGGAAAAGCCAAGAAGAATCATCTGCGATGCAAGAACGCAGGTCGCCAAGTATCGAGGACGGCGGTAAACGCGCTCAAGATAATTCTTCTCGCCCCCGGATCTGGGGATAGCTAGGCCGAATTCTAGAAAGACGCTTAGACCGCAGAAGGTGAGGAAACCGCCTATTACCCAGAGCATGAGAGATATGCCGACGGAGCCGGTGGCTGCAAAGATACTCGACGGCGTTGAAAAGACTAAAGGTCAGCGAGGTAAACTCAGGAATAGGGAACTTACTTCCTGTGCCAATCATCTTGTTCAGAATCAGAAACACAGCACCCGTGATGCCAATCTTTCGATCCTCAGTGTACACAAAGTTCTGGGCGTCAACGGTACTCCCATTATCAGGTCTTTCTTCACTGATGTCATCGTGTCTCAAGCCATCAAAGGCCCGAGTTTCTTTCCTGTCCGCCATTTCTGCTGAACAAACCAAACAGGATATTTACGTGCAACTTATACGAATGAAATACGGCGCAGATCGATGTCGACATTTAACCCTTGCTACGCGGAATATGTAGTGGATTACTCAAAACGGCAGGTCGTGAGATTTGCGGGCGTTGGGACGGCACAAAATAAGCTTATAAGCATAATACAAGGTTTCAAGGGTGTCGATCCCACCACGTGGGGTAAGAATATGCAGCACCAGAGGAATATACAGTCTAGGCAGGCAGTATTAAAAGTATCTAAAAGAGTCTAGAAGCAAAAGATGTGATCGCTCATCTTGGCAGAAGCCCCAGGCTGCTCAAAGCCAAGATTGCCAAGCGACGTCTTAGCCGCCTTTACCATCCCCGGCGGTCCACACAGCATGATCTTGGACTCTGCGCCTGGCGCGGGGAACCTTTCCTCCATGAGTTCCTGCGTGGCGAACCCAGTGCCAAAAGCCCAATTTTCTGGTGCTTTTTCCACAACGTAATACAGCCGGAAATTCAGTGGATACCGCCGCGCAAAAGTTTCAAGTTGGTCGCGCAGAAGAATATCTTGTTCCGAGCGGTTCGCGTAGATGAGGCTCACCTGCGTCAGATCGCGGTCATCTTCACAGATGGCGCGGATGATCTGAAACATGGGCGTTATCCCTGTCCCGCCAGCGAGCATGCCTATTCGTTTACACAGCCCGTTCTTATAGCGCATTGCGCCCTTGGGACCGCGGAAGGAGACTTCATCGCCGAGCGAGAGGTTGGCGAGGTATTTTCCTGTCAAGAGACCGTCGGGGTAGCATTTGATGACAAGCTCGAGTTTGCCGAGATCGCTGTTGTTGGAGATGGGGGTATATGAGCGGTTGACGATCTGTCCGTCGACCTCAGCTTTGATGGCGAGATGTTGGCCTGTGGGGAGACCGAGGACTGTTGTGGGTGTTGGGAGGCTAAAGACAAGACGGTAGACGTTGGGGGCTATTAATTCCTTCTCGGCCAGAGGGAGGGCGTGATATGTTGTTGAGTCGAGCCAGCCTCGTTGGATGAGGGGGTTGACTTTTGTGACCTTGGGCATCTTCTTGTGAGGAGCGTAACTCATGAAACCGCCCTCTTCGAAATGGAGATGCTTGGAGAGTTTCTTGGCGGTGATTGTACCAGCGACGGTGAAGAGCGCTGAGGCAATCAAGAAACCTTCCAGGAAGCCAGGTCCTGAGCCGCTGCGCTTGAACTTGGGTAGTGAGTTGAGCATCTCGGGGTTCAATCTATATGCTTGAAGCACAACAGCACCAACAGAAATAGCAGCTGTCGCTGTGAGTGCCGACGAAGTAAAGCTGCTCCCGGCAACAGCTTTTGGCGCAGCCTTTTTGAGCGTCACAGCTTTAGGCGCGCCTCGCACAGGTGCACCACTGTACGTCCCAACGAGATACTCCTCCATAATCTCAAACGCATCTTCAGAATGCCCTGCATTATCAAACTCCACCGTTGAGTCCTTTCCAGCAACTTCAATCAGAACATCCGCACCACCAGGATGATCCTCAATGTATTTGGTAACATCATAAACTAAACCGTCAGAAAAGTCTCACCACCAGACAAACAAAAACATACCTTTTCCGTTGATGATTGTCCAACAGTCATCACGAGTGCTGTGAGCAGCCACTTCCTTAGCAGTAAACGAAGCCATTTTCTCTAACTGTACAGAAAACAATTACGGAGCGCAGTCGCGTTATATGAAGGCAATCAAATACCACCTCAAGGATTGGCCAGTTCATTTCCTCATCAGGTCAAGCCGAGGCTCCAAGGGCTTTTCTCGGCCGACTGTGGGTCCGGAACGGCCGAGAGACCGTGCTTGCTCCGTTTCATGATTTCGCCAACTTTTAAAGGATATAAACCCGATCAACATGGATCAAAGGTTGCATTGACCGAGGCACGGAATTCGGTGTCGACGGATCCGTCAATGCCGTCGGATTTGTTGTTCATGCTTGAATGGCTAAAGACAAGATAAGCTGCCAGCATTCGTACCAATAAAACATGCCATGACTCAAATGCGTTATTTCCATGCGAATAAGCTAGTTTAGTCGAATCAGCGATACCCGTCCAATAGTGCAAGCCACACCGAAACTTAAGTACTCACCGGCGTATAGCGGAGATTTAATGCGTCACCGAATCATCCAGTCCAAGCGTCAAAGTCTTCACCCCTATCCACATCATATCCATATCTACCGACAGATTGCAAGGTTCGGAGATCCACTCGACATTGAGACTCTGAGCCTCGGCTCATTTAACGTCGATGGTCTATATACAGACTCCTAGCAGCCTGTCATTTGTTAGACAATTCTCAGCATTCATCATGGCTACTAAACGCTTCCATCTTATGGGTGAAGACCCTTCAACTGCCCAAGAAATTGAGATTCCTGCGTCATTGGACGAGCAAGGTCTTCAGCATCTGGTGGCGTCACATTTTGCAATTGTTGATCCATCCGGTAAGTCGATTCACTCCCTGCAGTGATGTCGCTAATTTTCAGGCATTGGTTTTGTCACCGAGTCTGATGCTTTGACAACTGTCGCAGACGTCCTCGCTGCGGATGACATTTCCATCACCATCGATGGAAAGGCTGTCCGTGAGGTCCCAGGCCCAAAAGGTCTGCCTCTTGTAGGCAATTACTTTGAAGTGTACCCTGACCATCTCGGTAACCATCAACGGTTGTTCGAAAAGTATGGCCCTCTCATCAAGACCACCAACATGGGCAGCACCATTTATCACACAAATGATCCCAAGCTAGCCAACATTGTTTTCGGCGAGACAGACTTTTTCTCCAAGCGCATCATTGATGGTCACCCTCTGTTTCCCATCAAGAACAAGGAGGCTGGTGTTTTCGTTGGTGACACTGATACAGAAGAGTGGAAAGAGGTGCACAAGTTTCTGCCTCCAGCTCTTGGCCCCAAGGCTGTGCGACATTATGCTCCTACCATGCAAAAGACTGTTGAGGATGCGTTCAAGGTTTTTGACGAACTTGATGAACGCGACGAGGCTTGGAATGTGTATCCTTACATGTTGAAGCTTGGATCTCAGGCTGTCGGCAAGTTGGTGCTTGGTATGGACTTCCAGCACTTTACCTCTCTTGATGCACGACCTCATGCTATGGTGATGAGAATTGCGCAGTCTCTGGAACTCAACAAGAAGATCACTTCAATGGGCAGCTGGTACAAGAACCTCCCATTCGGTGATCCTCAACGTCTCCGGGATGCTCGCGCACACATGGAATTGATGATGAAGGAATCTGTCGAGAACGCTTCCAAGGGCGAGGGAGACTTGGAGCTACAGGATGCTGCTGTCCAAGCCGAGAACATGGTTGATTATGTCCTTCGTGCTAGCGACAGCAAGGGCAACAAGCTTCCTCGTGAGCGCATCATGGAGCCTCTTGTCGTTGCCACTGGTGCCGGTTTCACAACAACCAGTTCTCTTCTGTCGTGGCTGCTATATGGTCTCGTTGCCTACCCCGGCATGCAAGAGAGACTTCTTCAAGAGATGGTCGACAACGGCTTTGATGAAAATACCCAAATCACTGCTGACCTTACCAACAAACTTACCTTCCTTGACAAGTACATCAAGGAGACACAACGACGACACAACCCTTCATATCAACCCGCACGAACATCATCTGTCGACATGATTCTGCCTGGTGGTTATAAGCTTCCCAAGGACTCTATCGTCATTCCCGCCCTTCACCACATCCACAATAACACCAAGATTTGGGACAATCCAGCTCTATTTGATCCTGATCGATGGGACACTGACCGTGTCAAGAACCGCCCCAATGCTTCATACATTCCTTTCGCCACTGGACCTCGTATGTGCGTTGGTTTCAACTTTGCTCTCCAAGAAGTCAAGGTCTTCCTGCCCAAGTTGGTGTATCGATACAAGTTCAGTCTTGCACAGGACGGACCTGTCGAGTACGATCCAATGTTTCAACTGATTCGACCGAACAACCTGTATGTGAGGGCAGAACGAAGGATAAAGTGGCCTTCAAAAAGCGATTAGATTGGTAAAGGATAGACAAAAGTATAATAGATTTAATGTACAATAGATGAGATGAGATGTATAGAAGAACATTGATATGCATGTTAGTAGTGATATCATCCCCGCAGCGCCTTCAAAGCTGAGTTCTGGGTGAGTAGCTCCTTGGGGTCGCCAGTCTCGATGACTCGCCCATCCTTCATGACGACGGCTAGGTCAAAGTCTGTCACATAATCAAGACGATGAGTGACTTCAATCACTGTTCGGCCTTGCATAACCTCTCGAATGATACGTCGTACGTCTTTGTCGGTAGCGTTGTCAACACTGCTGGTTGGTTCATCGAGTAGGACGATATTTGAGTGTGAGAGTAAGGCTCGTGCAAGACAAAACAATTGGCGTTGGCCGACTGAAAATCCAAGCTCACTGAGATCAGCATCAAGTCCATCGCGAGTGTCAATGGTTGCCCATAGGGTAGTCTTTTTGAGAGCTTCAATGAGGATTTCATCAGCTTGGATGAGTGCTTCTGGGTCGAGATTCTGTCGTACTGTGCCTGAGAGGCTTACAGGATCTTGAGGGATTGTTGTTATCTGGGATCGGATATGTTGACGAGATAGTGATGCTAGTTCCTTGCCGCCAATGTGAATGCTTCCTGATTGCAGCTCGAGTAAACGTAGTACTGAAAGGATCAAAGATGATTTGCCACTGAGATGTCAGCGAGTTCAACAATTGAATTTGGTCATTACCTTCCAGTGCGTCCACATACGCAGACTTTTTGCCCAGCTTCAACAGTAAGAGAAACATTACGAAGTACAGGTTGCGATTCATCACTAGGCTGTTAGTCGGAACTCTCAGGAGAGGCTCTTACGTACCTGTATGCCGCGGTCACTCCATCAAACACTATTCTGCCTCCAGTCCAATTGTCTGGGACTTCAGATTCACCCTGTTTGTTCTCGTTTGGGGTGTTTTGGATGAACAACTTCAGCCGGGCAATGGCTCCAAGCGAAGTTTCAAGAGTTGTCCATTGATCAATCACAGTTGTCAGTGTCAGATTCAACCCTAGCAGGTTAACCATGGCGAGTCCAATCGCGCCCTCGCTAGTGGTGCCAGGAATCCGCAGGGCAATCGTGACGAGAAGAATGGCCATCCCAGCAACGAAGAGGTCAAGTACCAGTTCCAACCATCGCTGAATACAAAACATTAGATAAAACGGCTTTTGCGATGTATTCAGCATGCGGAAGCTTTCATCGAGAACCCCGTTTGTCCATCCGAATGAGCGAATCGTTGCGAGCCCAGCCGTAATCTCCGTGAATTGTGTGTAGAGTGGTGTCTTGGCTTCCAGGTCCAGGAGTCGCATCTGTCTGGACGTGCGCAGGTAGTACTTTTGGATGAGATACAGAGCCAAGAATGAAATCGGGAGAAATGCGCCAAAGTAACTGGCTCCCGATGCCACCACACCAACCTGAACCACACATCTCAAGGTCACTAAAATAGTTAGAGGAGTCTTAGATCGAGGAACTGCTTACAGTCGAGTGTCAGGTAAAACGCTAGCGGAAGAGACATATCGATGAGTGTCATGTCCTGGCTGAAGCTACTCGAATCAGTAAAGACTTTGGAAACGAGCCTTGACCTACCGGTTCAAAATGCTACCGCTTTCTGTTGATGTAAAAAAGTGCAATGGGGCTCTGTCGGACCACGTTAAATACAGACACCTCGACAGCTCTCACGAGTTCAACATCAAATGGCATGCGCACCTGCAAACAGACTTCAAAAGCTGCTCGTGGAGGTTGTTCGATGACTTTTCGACGCCGACAATGAGGAAGTAACTGACGGTCAGCAAATTCCATCCATAGGCGGTTCACTTACTCGATGTTTAGAAGTGCCAGGGCCATTGAAGCAAAGACTAGTCCGATGTATCCTCCTGCATAATGTGCGTCCTTTGAGCCCTCACCTTTCTCCGTCCAAATTCGTAACCAGATTTCTACATCATTAGCTTCATCTGAAAGACGAGCGCAATACTTACGGGGCATGGCTTCGAGTACAGCGCCAATCACTGAAGTTGGAAAGATGATGCAAATGACTTTCCAACCCATGGACTTGACATATATCTTGTAGCAATCTGTATCCCCAGTCTTCCGAGCCATGTCAAATTCCTTCTTCGGAGTAAGCTTTACTATGTCTTTTTGTGTAGGCTCCAGTGTTTCGATTGGTGCGATAGTGTTTAGGGTTTCGGTGGCTTCGAGTTGGGAGTAGGAAACTTGATTGCGAGTGATTCGGCCATCTTCAATCACGGTAACAAAGTCGGCGAATGGCAGATATTGAACTAAACTGTTAGAAAAGTCTCAAAGTGGGGGAACTCATACCGTTACTGGTTACCAAAACAACAGTACTCCTCCGAAGCAGACCATCTGCCCCCAGAAGGCGATGGAAGACTGTATCTGCTGTCGTTTTGTCAAGGCTGCTAAAGACATCGTCAATTATAATGAGCTTCTTTCGCGAATAGACAGCTCGTGCAAGGGCAACCCGCTGTTTTTGGCCTCCACTTAACGCCACGCCACCAGAACCAACAATTGTCTCTTGACCTTGGGGCAATTCATGGAGGTCTTCTTCTAAAGCGCAAGCATGAAGAACTATCGACAGCCACTTGCTGTCCGTTGGAGAGAGCCCAACGATGTTTTCTCGAATTGTGGTATTGCGGAGCCATGGTACCTGGTCGCAATACGCAAGAGACTCCTCCGTCTTGACCATCCCCTTTACTGGTACAAGCTCGCCTATGATAGCTCTCAAGAGTGATGACTTTCCGCATCCTACTCTGCCCACGAGCACATTCAGTGTCCCGGGTGAGATTTGGAGGTTCACTTCGGTGAGCAAAGAATCTCCGTCGGGCGTCTGAAAGCTGGCGTTCTGCATAGTGACGGCATCAACATCGACTACCTCTTTAGTGACAGCCTGCTCATCCAGCAGCAAGAACGCTTGGATTCTGCCACAACCCCCTAGAACACCTGAAATCTGCATCAAAGAGACGAGAATCATGACAAGTGGTTGAGTCACAACAGAAATAAGGGATAGTGATGTGAACGCTTCTGCGACACTCAAGCCTCCATCTGCTTTGGTCCAGTAAATTGCAGACATGATGACAACCACCGGAGTCAACTGAGCAGATATCATGGCTATACCGTTAGCGATGTATCGCAGTCATGGGGTGACTTACCAAGCGCATTGAAGTAGACGAGCAACCATCGGAACTTGGCAGATACTTTGAGCTCTTTGACCCTAAGGCCCTGTACCATGTTGAGAAAGAAATCTGTCAAGCCCATCATTTTGATACCCTTCATCTGATTGAGCATGCTTGATGTTTCACCAACTCGCTTCTGAACAGCTTCATTCCATTTCACTGTCGCTGGCTCCATAGCTGGAGAGATGACGCCGCTGAGGATTGTTGTGACTTAACTGTTAGCTTGATCTCACGCGTGATAGAGTACTCACTGACGGTTGGAACCAGCACAAGCAAGCTTGGCTTTCCGACTTGACGATAAAGCAGGTAAATCCCCACGGGAAGTTCAAGCATGTTTGCCCACATATCATGAACCGAGGCTCCGGCACCAACAATAGTCTCCACGTCCGCCGTCATGAGTGTAACAGGTGCAGAGTCCTTGATGGACGCGGTCTTGAGTTTGAGCGTCTTCTTGAATATCAACGACACCAATCCACCTCTATACATAGTCACCAACTGGAAGGACATATGTTTGTGCCAGGCGCCAGAAATAGCAAGACCGAGATAGATGAGGACAGTTGCTCCAATGAGCCCACTAGAAGTTTGGACCGACATTTCGTTTTCGCTGACCAGCACGATAACGGATTGAATGAGGAAGGGCTGCGCAAAGTTGAAGCCGCTGTGGAGGAGTCGAGGGATGATACCAGCGGCAAATTGCCACTTGTAGGCGAGGAAGGTGCTCCTCAAAAGACTGGGCTGGCCACTATTGCGGGCTATAACTGTTAGACAACGGCAATAAGATTCGGTGAATCCGTATTGTTGACTTACCCCGTTCCCATTGTTTCTCCAACAGCGCGGATACATGCTCTGTATCAAACTTTGAGTCTATCGCCTGGAGGTCTTGGGTCTCGAGAATCGTGCGATGACCTTGAAGGAAGAGTCCATTCAACCACCAGAAGAAACTCCTGTTGACCACTCCTGATGAGGTCTCGTGTATCTTTTTCTTTTCGCCGAGTAACGTTTTGGGCGTTTCCTCCAGGATCAATAGGACCGTCTTGATCGCAAACGAGGCAGTGAACACAGTCGCAATACTGTGCATCGATCGTATCCAAAAGGTTCGGACGAGGGAAATGTCGAGGATGATGGTGATGACAAGAAATGATCCGATCAACTTGGATGGCTTCCGGGAGTTTCGGTGTTCGACAAACGACAAAGCGGCAAGTGCAAATGATTCGATTAATCCAAGGACGGGTTCAGCGATGGCTGTCTTTGTCGAGTTTTGTCGGCACCAGAGGGCAAGTAAAGTGATTTGAAGGCTGGCATAAATTGCAATAATGACCTGAGTTGTTAGCACATGTAACAAAGAGAAGTGGTCGCTTACCATTTTTGCCCACAGCAAGCAACCAGATTTGGTGGCCTTCTCATGGTTCCAAAGTAAATAGAGTCTCAGCGGCACAAGCAAGATGAAAAGACCAGTCGGAAGGAGAGATAAAATACTTTGCTCAAAAAGAATTGTAAAGTCGAAAACGCCCGCTCGCTGCGGGCCAAAATAATTATCCGCATTCATGATATGAGTTAGTCATAACCTCGAGGAGTCGCATGTTGTCGCGTCCCTTCTGGTTATATACCATGAAGTTGAAGGAAGGTGCCCAGCGCTCCAAAGCACCAGAGAGGGTTTAGCGCGGAGTCATGATTGCTGATTGTGGGGCCATACGGGATACGGAGTACGCAGTACGCGCTGGAACTTGGTGCTGACCTACTAAGTTAGGTCGAACTTGGCTTGTCATGCGATCGATAGTACCATCAGCACGGCTCGTTTTAATGCCGGCCAGAGACTCCAGCAGTTTCCAAGGATCCTCGCCTGTGACGCCACAGTATTCCTGGTATTACGAAAGACCATCGCGTTTCTATAAACTCCATAACATCCGAGGATGGGAAAAACCGGCCCGCGAAACAAAAACTCAATCCTCTTTACAGGCCCATACCATATACTTCCAACAGTCCCCAGATCTGACCTGACGTATCAATATCTACCAGGCTACCATCAGTAATCAGTCTCTCGTCGTGTTTTACATCATCAAGAATAAGTCACCCTGAACAGGCTATAATTATTTGTTTAATTATAGTGTGTATCCTATTTCTTCAGAACGACATGATACATACTAGGCGATCCACCAATAACGACTTTACAATTCTCTCGTACAGCCTGGGCAACAGCACATGGTAAACAGCAATCGCCTTGATAAAGTTGAGGTACGCTCTCGGAACAGCAGAGAAACTGGGATTCTCTATTCCGATGCGTCAGCGTAACTCCAATCGCAGATCCTCCTGATGCCACTGGTTCCATTACAGAAGTAGCTTTGACAATCAAGTTGTCTTTATTTAGAGGGAAAGGTGTTGAAAGGTCGTGATCGCAACTGTCGGCTGGATTGAGACTCATCAGTCCCAAGTGTATGTCCCGAAAATTGACATCTGTCGTGCTGTTGCCCTGCTTGATCTGACATCGGAGTAGAAGCACCTGAGAGCTTTGCATCAAAGCTGGACGCAATGTCATAACAAGGCTGCTGTGTTCGCCAAGTCCTGATGGAACGGTTATCACCCCCTTGGCAATAGACCTTTTTGCTTTCGGTCTAGCCAGAGTTTTTGCTGCTTTGTTGCCTGGCTCCATTGTAATTATAAAGTCGTAACTGTCGGCCTGATAATGCAGCCTTCCATCGACTAATTCATACTGCACAACCCATGGACTAGAGATCTCAGGGGCCTCAAGAGTAGCAGGGTAAATAGTAGAAGCACCTAAGCTATTGCAAAATAGTAGTGGGGAAGCTTCGCCACGAAATACCTTTAATTTTCCACCAAGATAGAGAATACTCTCATGCAACCAACCCGGCCGGATACCCTTATATTTATGGTAACGACCCCCATTAAACTGTGACCAGATAACACAGATGAGATCTGGGTATTCATCATCTCCAATTTGTAATCTCAATCTCAATGAAGTGTTAAGACCGTGTTGTAGGAAGAGAAATAGTAGCGAATTTTGCGTTATCTGGGCTACATCCTTCCAAAGTCTAGACACTGGGCAATGTATCCATGATATAAAAGCGTTCGTATTGGTTTTCGGATGACAATACACGTCCCATATCTCTATAATCTTGCAGGAAGAGCAGATACAGTTCTGTAGAGGCAAAACCACTCGAATGGCATTCGTAAGTTGGTTAAATGCCTCTTCTGGGCACTTCAAAGTATCAGAAGGACGACATAGCACTTTCTCTAAGCGCTGGGGAATAGTTTGTCGATATGTGGGCCCTAAAATGACCCTCAATCCTTGGGTCGGGAGACGTTCTCCTGGGTGCCAAGTAGACTTCGAGTCTAGGCCTTCCGTAGTAGCCGCCATTGCTATAGATGCGACAAAGTTCGATATAGCAACTTTTAGAGGTTGAGATGAGTCTGCGCCGACCATAGAAAGGGAAAGGTCTAACTGGCTCGATAAGATGCCATCACATACAAAGCATAGTTCTTCGTTGTGTTTGTGCTGGCTCTCTGTGATGATATGACGTTTTAGGAACCCGGCTTTCTTAATTTCCAGCTTTGTTTCGAGATGAATTTGTGTTGAAGAGCCAACTTCAGTAGTGACCGAGAAGATAATGTTGTCCCTGAGTCCACTCATAAGGACTTCTCTGTTGATTCGCACTGAAACATCTTCAGGGCACATTGCAAGCGTCAAGGCCAATAGTGTTCCTACACATCTCGTTCCAGACACTTGTAGAACCAGACTCTCATCTCGAAGAGCACTGCAGACTCCGGATAAAAATTTGTTAAGATCTTCCTCTGTTGGTGTGTCGGCCAAGTCTCGTGGCACGTCTAAACCAGCTTCGAAAAAACATTGCCTCAGTCGAGTGACTTGCAGGGCCAAATGGTTTCCAAAACCTAGACATGCTGATTTGCGTTCTAGTAGCATGCAAACATCGCCCAATTGAGTTGGTGAGGACAACTGCCGATCTGCAGGTAAGATATCTTGACAAAGATCGTAGAGCAATAGCCCGCAACGACTTTTTGGGTAAAGGCTACCGAGGGCGCAGCATAGTAGGGCTGCAGTTTGCCCACCGGTAGTCTGACTCATGAAAGACGGGGTGTCGTCTTTTGCCCATCCAACCCAAGCGGAAAGCCTCTCAAGTCTAACACATGATGCTCTCGTCAGAAGGTCTGGAATCTTTGCTGCCCAAGGACCGTTGGATTGAAAGCAGGACCCGATTTGCTGAACCTGTATGACGGCATTGGGGTTGGCATTGTCAGCCGAAACGGCGCGAAGGAGTCCTTGGGCAAAGCCGATCGTGTTTAATGCGGCTCCTGGAATCCCTAAAATGTCAACCTGAGCCGCCACCCCTCCGTTGTCACCTGACATGGTAGTGATTTGAGTTATCTTGTCGACTTCTGTGCTTGGTAGAGGATATAAACAGCACTCCAAACTAGTGAGGTCCTAGTGCAATTAGAAAGATAAAGAGCAAAAGTGATTAGTAGATGAACGAATGGAGAAGGTAGCCTGGGGATGAGTTTGTTTTTGCAGACCGAGTGAAACTGCCTTGGCGGCCTCTATGCGCATAGTCTGCCTTGCATGATTCTTGGCTTGCTAAGCGCCCGTGTATGTCATTTCTTACCACTAATTGGCGAACTGCTGCAGTCAAAGTCGTACACCGGTGAGGATCTCGCCAATTATAGTGCATAGATAGGATGGAGGGTTGAAATTATTGCAGTGGTGGCTGGCTGGCCATTCAATTTTAGTGGCTGTACATAGGTACCTACAACTTATCAACGTCCCCATCAGGCATCCAGTGCGACCCCCCAGCACATCTAAACCCACCACTCTGCTTAATCCACTGAAATCCAACCGGACAAACTCCCATCTTCATCAACTTTGCCTTCCTCGCCTCGACCTTTTTCCGTTTCTCCTCCTCAGCCAGAATCCGACGAACAAGCTTTTCCCTCTCAGCATCGCTGGCATTCTGCTGCGCTTTTTTGAGACGGCGAAATTCTTTTTCGTCTTTGGCTTCTTGCTCTTTGTCCTTTTGGAGCTGTTCCCAAACTTCATCGCTTACCCCGGCGTCTCGGATGCCATGGGGAACGGTGACGGCTGGGAGTTCTTCTCCTGGCTCTTCCTCCTCCTTTTCTTCAGCGACTGTGGTGAAGTTGGTTGTCATTGTAGGTGGTGTGAATGTGGGTGTATCGGTGAGTGCTTTGGCGATCTCGCTCGCAGCAGTAGGCTTCTTGTCAGTCATTCGGCCTCGACGCTCCGCCACCATGTCATCCATAGTACTACGAATGAGCTCCTCAGTAAGGGTCAGGCTTCTGCAAGATAGATCAAACTTGTGAAACATCTTCTTGGCAAGTTCTTTGACATCTCTCGCATTTGCCCAGCTGTCCTGCTCCGACAGTTCCTTGAACTTGTTGGTCAGCTCCGCTAAAAATTCCTTCTCAGGACGCTCCAAGCACGACAGATCAACTGCTATCTTTCCCTTGAGCTTGGCTTTGCTAGCTTGCAATTGACTGGTTATCAGCTGAATGCAGCTAGCAGGAGTGAGAGGCTCAAAGTCAATGCTTTCTGGGAACCGACTAGACATTCCTGGGTTGATTCCCAGCAGCGTGTTGATGTCCTGTACGTAGCCAGCCAGAATGATGATAAGCTTTCCATGATACTTTGGCTTCGTGACGCAATCCACAAGCTCATCGACTGCCTCTCTGGCAAATGAACCCTCAGAAGCCAGTCGATACGCTTCATCAATAAAAAGAACCCGCCCTAAGGCTTTGTCCAGGAGCTGCTGTACCTTCGGCCCAGTATGTCCAACATACTGGCCAATGAGCTCGGTAGCAGAAACCTCGATGACTTCAGTACTGGCCAAAAAGCCCAGGTCATAGTATACTTGGCCCATCTTGCGAGCAGCAGTAGTCTTTCCTGTTCCAGGCGGGCCGCGGAATAGGAAGTTGAAGGGGATCTCCGGGTCAATCTCCAGTTGCTTGGCCTGACGCACGCGGGTCTGGTAACCTTGAAGGATCGATATCAGACGGTCACGCCCGACGTCGCCCTCAAACAATTTCTTGACGTCGGTATCACCTTTTTCAGCGCGATCGAAGTCTTCATCAAAGTCAATAGGCTCCAAGGTCCCGTGTCTCTTGACACGTCCAGAAGACACTCGCTTTTGATGGCTGGCCATAGCTCTTCCAAGTAGAATATCTATTTCACCCGCATTTCCAAAGTTTGGACGGTTTCGTGCACGGCGCAGGACGTCCAGTGCGACAACCTTTGCCTTGGTTGTTGCCTTGAAGCCTGACTTGCCCAGTTTGAGGTCCAGAATCTTTGCCAACGCAACATCGTCAAAGTCATCAAATACAAAGGCAGATGAGATGGGAAAGCGTCGGCTAAGGCCTGGATTGACGTTCTGGAACATCTCCTCCATCTGCTCCTTGTATCCAAGCAGGAGCACGCATCGATCTTCGCCTGGGACACTCTGAACCTCTGCAACGATGGTGTCGATAACAGACGCTTTGTACGGATCGACGACAGAGCCATTTACGCCTCCTCCTCCATAGAGTCCGTATGCTTCGTCAATCAAAAGAACCTTGCCTACGGTGGCGGCGAGGATGCCTTTGGTCTGAGCTTCTGACTGTCCAAGAGCGGCCCCGACGAAATCAGCTGGGTTCTTGGTAACGACCTCCCCGTTCGAAAGAAGTCCCAGATCTTTGAGGATCGCCCCGTAAAGCTTTGCGACAGTAGTCTTTCCAGTTCCAGGCGATCCCAAGAATACCTTGTTCAGCGAAAACTCTACTAGGGGCTGCTCCGCAAGCTCGCGCTCATAGTTCGTTCTCAAGGTATCCATGAGCACACCAAGTGCATCCTTGACTTCCTGCAAACCGATCAGGGACTTGAGCTCTCGATAAGCCTTGCTGCTCAGCAAAGCCTCGGAAGGCTCTGGTCCGATGATGTCTTCTTGGGTGAGGAGCAAATCATTTGGCTTCTTGCTGGCTCGGCGTTCCCTTCTGAGACGTGCTGCTTGCCGTTGGCTAATCTTCTGAAGGCAGTTTTCTATGGCGCGAGCATTACCGAAACCATTCTTTCCGCGGCCATGGCCAACTCGGCGTACAGCAATCCGGCAGAACAGTCCATCGACTCCTTGCTCGACAGACATTGTTCCATTGAACTTGCGATGGATCTGGAGTTGAAGAATCTGGAGGAGTTCTTTGTCGGTGTAGTCCTCGAACTTCATCTCAATGGGGAATCGACTGGGAATGCCGGGGTTGTGGGAGAAGAAGGACTCCATCTCCTTGCTGTATCCTGCCAAGACAAACACGACCTTTCCTCTCAGGTTCTCGACCTCTGCCAGCAGATAATCCAGGACAGCCTTGCCGCCGGGGCTATTGCCAGATGATAGCTGGTATGCTTCGTCGATGAAGACGCAGCCGCCACCATTGTTGTTGACATCCTCGATAAGCTTCTCACAGCCAGTGACACCCATATTGGCGAGTTTGGATCCAGTGACTTCTTTGAAGCAGCTTCCTGCAATCGCACCAACAGTCGTGAGGAACTCGGCATATATTCTAGCCACCGTTGTCTTGCCTGTAGAGAAGTTAGTCGAAGTTGTTCATTGTGCTGCTCGCCTCTGATACACTCACCTGTTCCTGGATTGCCGAGTAGCGAACAGCTCCATCTTTCATCTCCAAGAGAGAACCCTTGACGTATCTTGGTATCGACTGTCGACTTGATAGACAGTATCTGGTCTTTTACAGACTCCAGACCAATCATTCCCATCAGCTTATCCAAAGCAGCGTTGCGTGCACCTTCAACTTCTTTCATGTTCTTCCACTCCTTGGCTGCACTGGAGACAGGATCGAACTGAGGAGCAGTCTGAGGCGGTGGGCTGGTTTTCTGGGTCTCCTTCATCTTCTTCTTGTTGCTTTCAGCTTGTCGAAGAGACTCAAGTTCCTCCTTCTTCTGTTTGAGCTCATCCGCTTGCTTCTTCTCCTCAGACTCGTACTTCATAGTTCGACGGCGATGATCAATCTCATCCTCAATCGCTTGTAACTCCAAGCGATACTTGTCCTGAAGCTCTTGGCGTGTTCGTTCGAGTTCGAGGTCGCGTTTGATACGTCGCTGGTTGTCTTCGTACTCTTTCGTGCAAGTCGTGCAACTCTTTGACTTGTCTCCACATGGGACCTTGGTCTTATGGCCTTTGTCACATACTTTCTCGACTTTGGCATGACATTCAATCAAGGAGTGGTGCTGGACTCGATGGCAACGTCGCTGGCATTTGTGTTTGCCGCAGCTCAATGGGGCATCACTAGAGAGGTTAGAGATTTATAACAAACGCCCGAGACCAAAGGAAGGAAATAAAGGGAAAAGTGGGAGTTTGGACTTACCAGGGCTCGGCGCATCCTCCATCAGGACACTTCTTATCAAAGTCTTCCGGCAGCTTCAATAACATGGACGTTTCAGGGTGGCGCTCGCAATGGATAGGCACTCCATCAAATATAGAGTTGTTCAGCTTCAGCGCATCAAAATACTGCGTCCACATTTTACCGCCCTTCTTGCTCTTCATGAATGTCTCCATGTTGCCAAAGAGAATCATGCCGTTTCGGGCTCGCGATAGAAGGACAACGAGTCGTTCGCGAGCATGCAGGAAGCCGATGTCTCCCGATGCGTTGCTACGTGTTAGTGACACGATGACGATGTCGCATTCTTCTCCCTGGTAGTTATCTGTGTTGTCAGTATTGAGCTTACGGGTAGTCAGTTAACTCACCAATTGTTGACAGACGCAGCGGCTTCTTGTTCACTTTGGCTGCCGCCTGCGTGACCAGTCCTGCGCGCACCAGGTCATGGTTGTCGACATCATTCAGCCAAGGATCCATCTCCTTCCGAAGGGTCTCCTTCAAAAGGAACAATTGTCCCAGATATGGAGTGAGAACGACCATGTTCTCGGTCTTGTATCCGTTCTGCGATAAGTACCGGACCATTCGGAGAACCATCATGGCCTCATGGAGGTTCCTCTTGCTGGCTTTGGCCGTAGGGTCCCGGCGCTCAGCGACATCGTCCATGGTATCCTCCGGTCGTTCATGGTGCACAAATGTGACGCGACTCTTTAATCCTCGGATCGTCTGACGGTCGGAAGTCGACGGCATGTCTTTTAGTTCGGGATAAGCTAGCATGCGAGGGTATTGTGAGATGTCTGGGTGGCTGCGATGCTGCTCTTCAAGGGCTGTGAAATGGTGACCCTGAATAACAAGTCTTTCAAAAAGCGACACGTTCAGATCGTAGCCTTCGCCCTTCTCCTTTGTCAATAAGTAGTTGCCGACCTTTGGTCTGAGCTGCTTGTGATCTCCGATGAGAATGAGTTGCTTCACTGAGGCACTCATAGCCGTAATGATGTGTGCTTCGAGGATCTCACCCGCTTCTTCAACCAGAATGACGTCGGGATTGGCGGTTTCAATGACTGACTGGTACATCGCTGCAGCGGTTGTTGTGCACGCAATGATCTGTTTATCCTGGAGAACTCTTCGTCCACGCTCGTCAAGGATACTCTTAATCTCAGTTCTCACATCACTGAAACGCTTGCTTAGTTCAACGAACCGGGCACTCTGTTCCTCACGAACCATTTGAGACCACTCGTAATGGCATTGCCTTCTAACAGCCAGCGGCGCATTCCAGACGGTACGGGCTCTCAGGTCGAGAGATGCGCTGATGTGTCCGAGACGATTGACATCACCGCCGTTCAGCCAAAACTGGTAAACACCCGCCGGTTCCATTTCTTTGCCATCCGAACCAACTGTCTTGAATCCGTCATCTTCTGGCACCTGAAAAGCTTCCCATGCGATGCTGAAGTTTTCGGAAAGCTCCAGGTATTCCAGGATATCGGTCGGGTGAGCCTCTCGTGCAGCGAGCTTTTTGCTGCATTCTTGAAGCTCCAAGCTGAGACTGGTTTCATCGACGCGAAGGGAATTGAGGATGTTCTTCTCTTCCATCTTCAACCAGTACCTCTTTTGGCCGTCGTATTCTCTCAGAAGTGTTGGCTTGGTGGCTTCAGTACATTTGGAACCGAGGCGAACCATTTGATCTGAGCTGATGCCGATGTCCATCAGATCCTCCAAAAACTGGTCAAGGGCATGGTTCGTATAGCTCAGAACCAGAATACGCGACTTGCTCAATCGTAGGATGGTCAAAAGAATGAGTGCGCCCAAGAATGACTTTCCCGTACCAGGTGGGCCTTGAATGAGAGCCAGGTTGCTGCTGATGCCATGAATGAACGATCGCAGCTGCGCGCCCTGCAAATAGATGTCTTTCTTCAGCTTCAAACCTGGAGGCATCTTGACTTTGCGCCCCGAGTCCAAGGCAGCGCGGAGTTGGTGTGGCAAGGCATCCAATGATGTTGATCTTGGTCCATCCTGAGCAGGCTGTTCCACGTCAATCAATTGGGCTTCCAACGGAAACTCGGCGATGGTCTTCAATCGCTGGAGAATCGGCTCGTAGGCAAAAGTAGCAGTGTCTACGACGAAAAACTTGACATTGTCCTTGAAAGGACCCTGAAGCGCTTCTATCGCCTTCTTGAGACCTGAGGCGTCGCTAAACTTGATGCCGACGATGGGTGGTGTCTTGAGAAGATTGGCGACGTCTCTGACAATCGACCCGAATGCGATGATGGCGCCGTTGCAGCAGAGCGCACCAAAAGAGTCATGCTTCATAAAATTCTTTGATTCGTCTAGGAACGCCTTCTTCCCGCCTTTCGGCAGTTTATGCGGAAAAGTAATGCCCTGCTCGCACGAGACGTAGAGAGCATATGGCGGAATGTGCTTGGTGTCGATGTCATGGTCGGTATTGATCCCCACCAATCTCAGCTGCCCCAAAGCAACAGGACGACGTTTGCTCTTCTTCTGACTCATAGCGACTTGGAGATCTTCACGAAGCTCAGAGAGCATGTCCTCCCGAAGGAGACGGAAGAGCCAATCGCGGTAGTTCTGGCTTCGGGTCTCCATTGGCGTGTCAAACACCTCCCCCAGCCGCTGGAGATACGGAGGGTCGGCTGAGAGAAGCTCATCAGAGGTCGGATAGATTGATATATCACGGAAGTTGGCATGATCGTTGTCGTGACGTCCTCCAGGAGTGACTCCATTGGATGCAATTTCGGGCTGCGCAAAGATCTTGATGATCTTGTCGATACGGTACGCAAGCTTCCTCACTTCGGGCGAGTCTGATCTGAGAAGAGACTTGCTTTCCATCAATTCTTTGACTGCTGCCTTGTGGCAGTCGAAGCTGGTTTGATCCGAGACAATTTGTAGACACAGCCAGGCAAATGCTTCAAGCCCGACATTGTCGAGTTTGTCATTATAGTAAGCACCGACTGCAGCAGTCCAAAAGGTAGATGGCTCCAGAATAGCCGTCAGCATCTGGCGAAGAAATCCGCCATTGCTGAGAGCAGCGACACCCTCATCCGATAGCGTCAGGAGGAACGGCAAGGCCGTGGTGTTTATGAAGCTAAATGTCAGGTCGACGCGGACTACTCTCTCCAGCGCCGCGATACCGGCAGGGCTTGAGAGCAAGACCTCGACAAATTTGACAGGTGAGTTCTTGGTGCTGTAGATCTCACAAGCTTGTACAAACAACTTTGCGGAGTGTGCACTGGTGATTTGCTGTTCGCCTTTGATGACGGCCCAGAATGTCTTGATGAGCTTTGCTGCTCGAGAGCCAGATGCGTCTTGTACCAGAACCATGGCAGCGATAGCGACGACACTAGGGCAAGATGAAGACGAGATAAAGTTGTTGATGGGATTAAAACTGGGAGTATTGGAAGAATGTCATATCACTGAACAAGAGGGCGAGTGAATGCAGCTTCATTTGTATTGTGAATGAAGCTGTCTGTCTGTCTGTCTGCCTTGACCTGACCCAACCAGCATCGCCACGGCGGCCAACAGAATGCATGGGGCCGACAAAGCATCCCGTGTGATGCGACAATGAAAGCGGCATTTAATTCGCTGTCAATCAGGCTCTGAGTTGTTTTGGTCGGCCTCCCACAGCTCACGGCGGAGACGTCGACCAAGTTAACTCAGGTGCTGTGAAGCAAGGCTCCAATAAATGAGAAGATACCTAGACATATTCACGATAATTTAGACAAGCTTTATGCACTTTTCTCAAGGTTAATACCTTGTTTTCGATACCCTGACAGAGAGACGTGAATGAAGAATGCCTACTCTACACAGCCCAGCAGCGGTCGGGAAATGGGCCAACATTGTCACGACCAACAACGGATGGGCAAAGTGTAATTAATGCAGAAATTAGGCAGACACTGTGACATATTCCCATTGATTGTCTGGTAGGCCTCCTGGTGTTACACAGAGGAAGTGAATGGCATCTGAGGATATATTGAGTTGTCTGTCCCATCTTGCTCGTTCTCATCAGCCTCAATCACCCAGACCTTACTACATCATCCATAGCATATTATTATCACTCACATCTCATTCATAAAACTCACTTCATGATGTACGGACGCCGTCAAACAAGTTCGCGTGCATGGCGAGCATCCGCGCCTGTGACTTCATCACCAGCACCTCCACTCGGAGATGTAATTGAGCGCATCACTCAAGACAGCCTCAAGAGCGATGTAGACCACGTGGGGATTGAGAACGTCAAAGTAATCTCATCCTACAACTGGATCAGCTCATCTTCTCCCGAGATCATCATCCCAGGTACGTGAGTCACTCCAGAAAAACAGCCAATCTAACATGTACAGGTCAACCTCCAAGATGGACGCCTCCCAAGGGCCCGAACAAGCTGCCTGGTGACGCTGGCGAGTACTATCGCGATGTCAACGCAGCAGCTTACCCCAAACATCCTCTTGAGCCTGCAATTGTCTCTGTAATGAAGATGAATCCCAGCCCCATCCCGGTCAACATCGTTGCATGCGGGAGTACGATCGGGAACCTTTTGCGCTTTGCTCGAGGTGTTGATCTAGATCGCTCGTTTCGCATCCTCGTTGAGAAGGTCGGCGAAACTATCCATCTCATTCGCAGAGAGAATTCGCCTCGTGAGAAGATTGAGGGCGTGCGAGGCTTCGGGCATACATTTCCAGAGGCGTACACTACGTGGGACTCTTCGGTCAAGCGCTCGACCTCCCATCAGCGAATCCTTTCATATCAATTCGGCGGTCTTGATCTCATGGTCCGATTCGAAGGCGATGGGTACATTTCGTCCAGTCCTGTCGCAAAGACCGTCAAGGGACACGCTTTTGACGATTTGGAAAGCCTCAGCATCACTGAATCGCTGTCAAACGGTCCTGGCAAGCTCAAAGTGTCAGATGGAGGCGAATCTGCCCCCCAAAGCAGCATCTTCGACTTGAAGACGCGATCAATCATGGCTCGTGAAAAAGATCATCTCGGCGACCAACTTCCACGCTTGTGGGTCGCTCAAGTCACGCAATTCCTCCTCGCCTACCACGAAAGAGGTCTCTTCAGAGACTCCAACATTGAGATCAAGAATGTCAAGGCCGACATCACCGAGTGGCAGGATCTCAACCAGCCATCGCTCAAGCGTCTCGCTGCACTCCTGCGCCTCATTATCGACAAGGCCCACGCGTCAAAGGACGGTAAGTTGGAGATCGTATGGTCTAACGGCGGTTCACTCGAGATTCGCAAACAGCTGTCGGATGCAGGTGACGTCTTGTCTGAACCTGTCAGGAAGCAATGGGAGGCTTGGTTGGGGAGTGAGAACAAGGATCCGGAGGACTCGGAGCGCGAGGAAGAGTTGATGGCGGCGCAATCGGATAGTGACAGTGACAGCGATTATGCTGCGTGTGATCAAGAGTGCGGATATTGCGGAAAGTGTATATACTGAGGAGTGGCTGGTGGGATGAGAATGTCATGATGTACCTGGCGAGTACTTGATGTTGACAGACAGACCCTTCAGTAGCCATTCTTACCGAAATACCGAGTTACAGATCGTCAACTGGATAAGGGACCTTCCAGATGAGACAAGGGATGCTGACAGGCGTCAATCATGGTATCACCCTTGCTCAACCCTTGAAATCGATACGTCCATACCCTACAGATCACATCACTCGTGCCACGCAATTGTCTCAAATGGCGCACATGTACGTTTCACCAGCGCGGATCGCAATGAATGAAGATCACAGCAAGAAATAGCACTGCCTCATGGAAAATATGGATCATCCAATACTGGCGCGCGCCAAATCGGGCCACGCTCAGAATTCCGGGGAAGTCTGAGCCAGAAGAGTCCACAGGCATATTAGCGCATGAATCCCCAAGGCCAAGCTTTTTCTTGGTGTCAGACGAGAGATCGGCAAGTGGAAAAGCTTCTCTATCGTCGTCGTACCCTTCAATGTAACAGACCACACAGTATCCGGATTGGAAAACCAATGTCTTGCGTGCTTTTTTTCCCCTCCTCCCGTGAAGCATTACGCAAGCTCGTTGGTGGGAATGGTCTGGATGTCTGCCCCCCGTATATAGTGGAGCGGTTCAAGAATGAGGGGGCGAGGCCCTTTTTAGGCGACACACAGTTCTAACTATTCCTAACGAGGCTGGAGGTTGGGGTTTTTCTAGAACGAAGATAACGATAGAGTCGAACCTGGTCGATCACTTACCTGCCCTGCGGCTCTTACATACTGTACTTTTGAAGCGGGGTTCAACAGGGCACGCGAGGGTAACGTGAGAAGGGAAAAGGTGTGAGGATGGTGATGGGTTGGACGGGCCGACACTGCTGTTAAGATCAGCAGTGGGTGGTATTGACGGACAGAGAGAGAAGGAGAAGGAGAAAGAGTCAAAAATGGTGGTGTCGACTATTCCAACGACGAACCTTTTTAGTAAGGTTAGTTTATGGAGAATGGTATGCTTAAAGAAGCTTTCAGAGTTTTCGTCTCTCCCTTAGTTCAAGTCGCGGTCAACTTGGGGACAACATGTTGCATGGCATCTTGGTTGATTTGACGGATGATCAATGAATTATAGCGGTCTATATACATACTTCGTAGCATTCGATAACTTATCATTTATCCTTGTCGTTAAGCTCCAGATAAAGGAACAAACGGCGTAGGTTCCATTTCGCTATCTCGTGGTGGGGATCACCAACTTGGCTTTCCCAGCCGGAGACAGTTCCCGTAGTTAGTGTAGCGGTACCGCAGGCTATTGGCGCCGTTGTCTCAGGGGCCATAGGAGACACGGGCCACCAAGACGCCAGTACGTGGTTACAGATTTGATCCGTACTCGTATCAGGATTGGATCCATTTCGCTCAGGTTCGCTCCGACTACAGACTCACGTACGCCGTCTTATAGCGATTGTCCGTCCTATTTTCAGAAACTCTGACTGTACAATACGTCAGCGCGATACAGTCACCGTGTCATCTCTACACGATGCTCCAGATCGTATGGTCCACAGATCAATTTTCTAGCCGCGCCATGGCCGAAGCGCCCAGCCCAGCCAGTCCAGTCCAGCCAAGCCAGCAGTCAAGTGCCCGCCGTAGGTTATAATCTAAAATTGCCTCGACCAAATCTTGGGGTCGATTTCGCCTCAGCATTTCATTTCTCATGCCATTCTTGGCTTTCCCATCGCCTGCCCATGGCACCACGTCTCTCCTTGTCAGACGTGATCAGGATTCCACAGACTCAATAGTAAACGTCACCTGTAATTGCTGTTTCAATAATTCGCTTTGTTTGCTCGGGCGCTGTTTCATAAAAATGAATGCAATTCCTGAGACTTTTTTCGGTCCCCACTGAGTTGAGTTCACTGCCCTCTGCAGGGCGATAAGATAAGCTAAACTACTGCAACGCACTGTAGCTTGGGAACTTTCAGGGGGCTTTCCCTTAAAGCTCGGGGCTGGGCTCCCCAACCTCACCTCCACACCACTACAAGCACCCCTGAAGACGGCTCACTCCCAACGGGCTTGAGGTCGCATCACCAGAACCAGTCAAGGATTGGTTTGGTTTGGATTCCGTCAAGACCTTCAAGGTCGTGTCCTTTTCCATCATACGCCCCAACTGTTCGCCACCCCAGCATCCCATCCCTCTTCTACCCCTTGTTCGTCCTCTGTAATCATTCATTACCCCGTCTCTCGCTCTCAAGAACTCTTTCTTTTACTTCTACAACCTGCCTCTGTCCCTCGTTATACTTTTCAAAGCATAGTAGCGACGGCGCCAGACGACCCCGCGAATAACTATCGGACTGGATCCGACATCACGATACCGAACGAGTCAATATGAATTTCACAAAGAAGATTGACCGAGCCTTCCAATGGGCCGGTGAGAAGATGGGTGGTGAAGCCCGGACGGCTCATTCTGACGAGTTCAAGAATCTCGAGACTGAAATGGCCCTCCGACAAGACGGTTTGTTCCCCGTGGATCATTAACTTTTCGACGGCTAACGATCCCAGGCATGGAGCGCATGCAACGGTCTATGAGCGGCTACGTTAAATGGTTGTCCCAACGCAATGAGCTTTTGGATAACAAGGAGCGCGGCACTCCCATGGCGGCTCTTGGCCGTACAATGGCTACCCACGGCGAGGATTTCGAGCAAGAATCCGAGTTCGGAAACTGCCTGCTGTCCTTGGGTCGCGCCAACGAGCGCATTGGTGGCATCCAAGATTCCTACGTGGACTGCGCCAATGCCACTTGGTTGGACAACCTCGAGAGGAGTCTGGCAATGATGCGAGAGTACCAGGTATGTCAATCGATTGCTTTATGATACGCCCGCTAACAACAGTAGAACGCCC